AACAGGGGTCGAGGTGTCAACCAATGAAGACTGCTATGGTATATAAAAGCCAATCGGAAAAGGGTCAACCGATGAAGCCCAAGAAACAACAGCGAATACCCTACATTCCCTACCAGCGGCCGGGGGGCAATTCACAACTCTTCATTCAAAATCAAAAACAGTTACCCTAATTTCCCGGATGTAACAGCATGTCGTCTCGAGTTCCACCAAAAAGACAAGAGAAACGAAATCAAAACAGGGGACCTTGTGTTGCCTACAGTAAAATGCCCTGTTTCCTAATTGAAAAACAGAGGTATATTGTCACATGATATCAGAGCGCCAAAGAGAAAAACGAAAGAAAACAAGGAAAACAAGGAAAACAAGAAAAACTTAATTCATTTTTAATCTTCTTCCTTACAACTCCCCCTGTTCAGAACCTCTTGCGTACAAGGCCGCCCACAAACTTAATTCATTTTTAATCTTCTTCCTTACAACTCCCCCTGTTCAGAACCTCTTGCGTACAAGGCCGCCCACGTGGATGTAGGTTGAGCGGCGGCTGTTTTATATATATATATATATACCGGGCAGTTCTATTTGATGATATATATATATATATATATATCGTCACAATATATATATCGTCAAATAGAACTGCCGACGGTAAACCGTAGGCAGAGAGGGAGAAGAGGACAACAAACGAGGGGCTGTGACAAACTGTTTCGTCGGAGTTTCATATATATATATCGTCAAACAGAGCTGGCCGGTAAACCGGAGGCAGAGAGGGAGAAGAGGACAACAAACTAGAGGGGGTGTGACAAACTTTTTCGTTGGAGTTTCACGGACTCATCAGGAGGGTACCTTGAGGGCAGTGGTTGGTGCCCACCTTTAAAAAAAAAAAAAAAAAAAAAAAAAAACAGGCCCAGTGCCCAAGGCTCGAATTATGAGATTGAACACAACGCAAACACACGAGAATATCAGTTGTCGGGCAGTCGTTGATGCTTAACCACAGCCGGGGTTAAGGTGGATCATCACTGACAGTGTAATCAGTTAGGGGATTCTGCAGACTGTTGAGGGTTCAGCCTCCTGATGAGTCAGTAGGTGAAACTCCGGCGAAACAGTTTGTCACAGCCCCTCGTTTGTTGTCCCTCTTCTCCCTCTCTGCGTACGGTTTATTTTTTACTTTTTCTTTTCTTTTTCTTTATAAAACTGCACTATATTCTTCTCTCAAATCTTTCATCATCTTTCAAATTCTTTCAACTCACCTTCACTACCTACCTACCTACCACTACTCCTAAGGCTTAGACAGGGGACCCCCTGCAAACATAGCTTTGTTGTCTCCCTCCAGCCCCCCATCAGAGGGGATGCATGTTGCCCCCCCCCAGCCCCAACCATGGTTGTCAAGGATGGGGTGGGGCCGCCGTGGGGGTCGGAGGGCTAACCACGCCAAGACCTAGCATTTGCCAGTAGCACCGCCTCTCTTTTCATCATCCCCCACCCCCAACCGAATACCAGCACTGTCTAAGGCCAACAACACTGTCCCACACACCACACACCACACACCACACACAACCCACTCACACTCACATCACATTCACACCCGTGTTGGCCAAGGACCCTGCTATTACCAATCAGAGGTATGAAGCGGACTATCACTGCTGGAGGGCACTCAGTGCGCCGCAGGCGGCTGCGGTTTCCCGGCCAGCTCGGTTTGACTGTATATAGATACAAAAAGAGAAAGGTCTAACATGATTGAAGAAGAGATTGAATAGGGAGCAAAAGAAAAAAGAGAATAGAGATCTGACATGATTGAGGAAGAGAAAGGGAGCCTGACATGATTGCTACCCAAGACAGGAAAACGTTTGAACTCAGCCCACGTGACTGCTGGTAACGGGACCTGACCTGACCTGACCTGACCTGATTTCGAATCCTGCTGCAATCAGTTAGATGAGTAAAATAACTCTGAATTACCCAGGACCGATCTGTTCTATTTGGCACCTCAAGGCCATCACCCTTCTATAGAAAGAAGAGAGAGAGAGAGGGGAAAAAAAAAAAAGAAGGAAACGTTCTAGGCGGTGTTCATTGTTCTTCCCAACCAACCACACACACACACACACACACACACACACACACACACACACACAAACAAACACAAACACACACACACACACACACACACCCACACTCCCATACCCACACTCCCATACCCACACTCCCATTCCCACCCCCCCACAGCGACCAAGTGGGTGTTTCGGTTGGTGGGTTATATTTAGAGCGTGTCACAGCACACACACAGACACACAGAGAGAGAGAGAGAGAGAGAGAGAGAGAGAGAGAGAGAGAGAGAGAGAGAGAGAGAGAGAGAGAGAGAGAGAGAG